AAGTTTAATCCTCAGAAACCAAAATCAGAAAAGCTAGAACAGCAAACAAAAATCACTTGTCAAGAACTAAGTTAAGCTCACCATTCTTCATCCTCTCTATTTAAACTCCCCTAAAAGGACCTTAGATCAGCACCATCAAAGGCCAATAATCTGATCAAAGGTCACACAATCAACTTAATTCTCTGAATATTCGGACACAATCATATGCTTCTAGAACAGTAATAAACCAACAACTGTAATGCAGGCAGCTGGACTGTGTAAAAAAGATCGATTTAAAAGGGTCATTTTATGCATGAATTATTGAATAAGTATTCGAAGAGCATATTATGTTTACTTGAAAGCAATGACAAGAAAGCCTTTTAACTGGTTTCACTCACATGTTATTTTGTGGCAGAAATCCGTTGTATTTGGGTGTTATCTTTGTTGGTTTTCTTCTTGTAAAAGCCTTATGGGTGCAGCTGGACATTTCTAATGAATTCAGCAATGGAGTTGTGAGTATTTATTTTCCAACCCCTCAATTCTTTATTTTGTGGTGTCTTTAGTTTTACCCCCTTTTAAACTTGGTCGCTATCTTTTCTAGTAGTAGGAAGTCTGCTTTTCTTGTCGGGTTTATCCACTGAACCATTATGGTTCAGGTGTCATTCATCTTCAAGAAAACTTGTTAATAGATATACATCATTCATTTAGGACAGGTTTGTTTAAACTTGAAGAAAAAGTGATTTTAGTTAACTTGAGTTGTTGGGAAAACATTAAACTAGTGGTGAAAATTTTGTTCGGAAAAAAGTCTGTATTTAGCATTTTTTATGTTTTTGTCTAAATATAAAACCTATTCCAAGTAGCTTACCAAAATAAGCTTTTTGCAACATATCCCTCACGTGTTTAGCAATATTTCCAACAACTCCCTCATATTCCCAACATCTTTCTCATGTTTAACCTAGCTAAGATCATTTTTTTTTTAATCTTAAATGAACTGGCCTTTAATTTGGTAGAAGAAGTATGGTATAACAACTATTTATTAACATTTATTTGATTTTGGAAGGAAAAGAGGGGTTTGATAAACAGCTAGGCATTTAGGCCTCCTCGGATCTTGGTTTTAGATGAATTTTTTTAACATTCTATTTGTCTCAAAATTTTTAGAGTTTTCAGCTATGTTTCTGACTTTTAACCTGGCTGTGTTTAAGAGAAAATCTGTTGTTCATAAAGTATGCTAAGGCCATGTGACTTGTTCTCTTTTGCCCTGTCTTGTTTTAAGCAGCATAGCGTATGTAGTTCACATCTACACTGGAGTAGTTAATTGGGTTGTGAAAAGTCCTTTAGCCAATTGACCTGCGCCTTGCCATCTGTTTGTTTTCAGTTCGGCAATAGCATTCATTTGCCTTATTTCTTGTGTGCTTGCAGCTTCCGGGACTCATATCCTTGTCCACGAGATTTCTTCCAACTGTTATGAACATTATCAGAAAACTAGCAGAGGAGGCACAGAACCCTGCACCTAACAATGCACAGAGAAACCCATCAGGAAGCAATCACAATGCTGTTACAGCTGGAAGCAATACGTCATCTAGTGCTTCTTCTAACGCAAGTTTGTCTGAAAAAGCTTCGTCTAACGTAACTTCATTGGAAAATGGTGGTGAATACTCTAGTTCATCAAAATACGAGTAGGCACAGAAACTCGTTATTATGACAAGCAATTTTTTCCTGTGAAGATGTTGATGTCTGCGGGCTGCATGTTGGGTTTTTGGTTGTATCTACGAAATTATGATTTCGTGAGCATTCAAAGAGTAAGCTATTCAAAGGCACTGGTTTTAGTACAAGTGCCAAATAGAGGGGGCATGGTTCATTCCAAGGCATCCCCCGTTATATAGTTTTCTATAATCAAATTAGGTGCTTGAGATAGTTTAATGTTTTTGCTGATTTGTGCTCAGTTTTGGTTGTAAGAGCTGTATCTGTATTCTTATTGAAAATTTATTCTTTAACCCTTGTATTTTTTCTCTCCATCTTGATATTTTTCTACACGGGGATCTTTATTTCACTTTGGAAGATCTTTCATATTATTGGTATTATGAACTGTTCAAGATGAAAGAGGGAAAAGATTATTTACTTGAGAGTTTGAATTTGACGTGTGATAAAATTATTGCGAAGAAATTATTTGTTTGGTCAGAAAAAGATAGATAAACTGAATCAGTTATAAATAGACATGAAAGAAAGTGACGCGAGTTTGATTGCAAATTTATGCCTGTCACAGTATGGTATAACCTTAATGGTTGAACTGGTTTACATATCATATGCGGATGAGGGTCAAATAACTCATTTTGATTTATCATACCCAGTATTTAAATATATTAAGGAGAATGACCCCAAGTGGACTAGAAAATGATCTGACCCAGTCGGATGGACATATCAGAAAAATGTCTAGTAATGTAAAATTCAATGTCAAAATTTGCAGTTACTCTTCTGGTTCTATTTATAAAGTGCTTTCAGCATGTTTCACACAAAACAAAAAAAATTTTAAACTTCATTAACTCATTTAAAAGTTAATGGCTTTCCAACTTTATCTCTATTTAATATATATTATACCTTATATAAACAAAGTCAATAGAATAATAAATGAGAGGTAAAATTGTACATCCATACAAAATTTCTCTCAATGTTTTATCAATAATATCAAAAAATGCATTCTTTCTTTGTCTTATAAATAGGACCAGAGGAGTACATTTCAAGGGGTAGTTTCTAGGCATTATGCACTTTGCTGAGTGATATTCAGTTCTTGTATTATTTTCTTGCTGTGGATTTTACCTGTTGCAACTGCTGGCATTAAACAATTTTAAAGCATTTTATATCTTTTGCAAAATATTATTTAAAAAGTAAGCGTAACAATTTCATGAAAAACATGTAGAGCACATTCAATATAACTCATGAAAATTCTCGAAATAGAGATTTGCTTGAATTTCATAAATTATTAATATTGCTTTTTAGCTGTACTCAGAAGTCATATACAATACACTATCATACAATATTTTATGTCTACTCAAACAATAAGTCATTTAACTTCCAAAGGGTGTTTAACGTCTTCCTTGGCAGTTAGACTGCCCAAGACCAAGTAGACGTTATACCTTGGGCGAGCCTATCTGCAAATTTGAATGAAAAAAAATAGTTTGCTTTGAAATAACCATTTCCATATTTCTTATACCTCCGTGCATCAATCATGGACTCTCAAGGCCCAAAAAAAAAAAAACCCACCTTCAAAAATATCATCATCAACTTCTTGGAACTTTTATGGCCAAAAAAACTTCTTGGAACTACGTAAAAACTAGTAATAAACCATATGAATCCGTGAAGTGAGAGTAAGACATTTAGGCTCTGTTTGGTTAGAGAGTTATTGAGGAGAAAGGAAGAGAGAGAAGAGGAGATGAGATAAGTGTGTTCGGTTGGAAAAAAATAGATGAGAGGAGAGGAAAAATATTTGTCTTTTAGTGCTCCCCTCTCCTCTTTATGCTCCCCTCCAAATTTGGGATTTTTTTGAAAGGGAGAGAAATATTATGTCTAATATTAACTAAACTATCCATACTAACTTTTTAATATTTCAAGTTTGTCCCTCTTATTAGAAATTTTTTTTTCACTTCTTTCTCTTTTCAACCACTAATAATATTTGATAATGATAATAAAATATTATAATTATATAATACATACATATCATAACATGTGTGTATTATAATTATATATTATAGTGTGTGTATTATAATCTCAGATAAGCTGCAAACATGCATATATATTAGAGTAAAATACTCTAACCTCCCTTGCATTTTGTTTTAATTACACATACCTCCTTTTTATTTTGAAAACATACACTTAAATATAAATCGTTAACTCCGATAAGAATATTTCAAAAAGATTTTTTTAAATTCAAATTTATATTGAAATACTTTCTATTTGCTAAATTACCCTTCATAATGCCAAATTCCAAAATCTTGGTTAAAACTATATCGAAGCATTTAAGATTTTCTCCTTTACCTAAATTTTATTTATTTTATTTTTGAAAATTGTTGTTTGTTTAATGTTTTTACTGGATTAGGCCAAAAATTAAGTAATTTAGTTAATGCAAACATAAATTTAAATGATTTATATAAGTTTTCAAACTCACATAATTTATATTATGTGATGAGAAAATAAGTATTTAAAATATTTTCTAACCATTTAAAAAAATCTTAATTTTCAATATTTTAGGAGGAACTAAAATGATATAATTTTATAATATAATTGAAATTAAAAATTTTATAACATATTAAAAATTTTGAAAATACATGTACTATAATTATTTTTTTGTATCAAAAATTATTTTTTTTAAAAGATATAAATGTTTAAATAACATTTATGTTAAAAAGGGATATTTTAGTCAAAATAAAAATTAAAAAGTCAAATTTAATGGTTAACTAACGGTTATATAGATGGAAATTGAATATTAAAAATATAATGAAAGTTTGTGTAACATACATTTTAATTTGAAAGAAAGTTTATATATGTTTTCAAAATAAAAAAGAGGTTTCTGTAATTTAAGTAAATTGGAAGGGTAGTCAATATATTTTACTCTATATATTAATATATACATATCATAATATATGTGTTATAATTATATAATATATACATATGATATATATTAATACATATAATTAATGAGATAGAATTTAAACTTCTTATCATATTTCCTAATTTTTTTAATTTTATCATAATTTTTTTATCACATATAAGTGAGATAATTGATTTTTTCTGAAATTGATAAATTAAGAAATAATAATTTTGATATAAATATTATAATAAAAAAATAAAACAGTCTAAATATAGAAATAAAAACGTATTTATCAATTTATAATTACTTTCCCTCCCCTCCTCTTATGAACCAAACAAAAAATTTCTCCTCCCTTACCCTTCTCTCCATCCAAACAAAACCCATGACTTTTTTTTAATTAACCTCCCCTCCCTTCCCATACCCTGAACCAAACAAAGCCTTAACCACGACGCTGCTTTGGAAGACGACGGAATATTTGATGAACCTTCAAGTTTGTTTTAGCAATGCCAGGACAAGGACCATCCCCGTCTGTTTGACCAGCCAGGAGCCATGGCTGGATAGGTGTAAATCTTCTACGAAGACGCGGCAAATATGGCGGACACCCAGACATTAGTATTGCAGCCGTGGCTGTTGCAGCTTCAGTCCCTTGTTCGTTTACTTGGATGAATGCCTTATGAAATATGTTGAAAACATATAACTGATTTTCTCCGCCACCATCACAAGAACAAGTCACCATCTCTGTCAACTTCCCTCCAGAAAATGGCAATCTTATCCCTAGTTCCCTCAGCATTTTGGAAGCTTCCACCTCAGAAGAAATATTAAATTTTGGGGTCGTGCTGTCGTTAACATCCATTAGATCTTCCCCATAGTGTTCAGAAGTAAGTGCAACCGGAGAATGGAACTGAAAGGAGAAAGTGCGCTTTTCTTTGCTTTGCTTTTTATATGTGTGGAGAATATCATGAATCTCATGAAAATGGCGAGCAAATTGTTTCATCTTCACAGCCATGAACTGAGCACTGACTACGTATTCCTTCTTACCAACCTTGTCTCTACGGATCATAGTATTTTTCTCATCCCATGCTCCTCGAAAGTGTTGCGCATTTGTAAAGACGAGCTTGACTGAGTTGTTGAGAGAGCCCTCACGAATAAGGTCTTTAACTTGGCCACTTGTCTCATTTTCCACCCACGAATTAATTTGTTGCCCCACATGAGCAGCCTGCGCAAATTATATATAGCCATTTCACAAAGCACCTCATCAACTGTTGTTCTTGATTCCATTAATTAAGTTCCTTAGATATGTACTCCAAGAGAGGTTAGCAAGTGGACAAACACACATGAAATCGTTCTATTCTCTCAAACTCAAGCCTTAAGGCAAGAAACAGGGCACTCGTACGAATTTATATTTACAATTTACAAAGGCGAATAATATAAATGGGTTGTGCTCGCCTGTGTATATCTATATCATGCATCAATTAATATAACACTTAATGAGATGATGATTTTTTCAAGAGACAAAAAACAGGGGATAATTTGGAGTTGAAACTCAAAAGCAACATGCTTTTATTTTCAAGTTTTGGCATGCCTAACAGTTAAGAGGGTATGGTACGCACCTGACAATGTCATGAGTAATATGAAATTTAAATTCGATTTAATTAAAGATAATTTGAGAGGGAACATTACCTGGGTCTGAAAGTCCACTAGGTTCACATCGGCTCTATAAGAAGAGTCGAGAATCTGTTTAAAAGAGGGCTTGAGAGTAAGGGACTGGTCAAGCCATAAGGCATTGGAGCAACGCACACGAGGGCCAACGGCGGGATCACCATCGGCCAAGGTGACGTCGCAGAGTTGAGAGGCCAAGGAATTGAGATGATCGACGGAATCGGCGTTGAAGAAGTTGACAATCTGACGGCGGGTCCAACCGCGGGAGCCGGCGGCAAGGAAGCTAAGCACCACTTGTAAGGACAAGGGTGAAACCACCCTGCATTCTTCCAATTGTTCTTTCCTAAGTAGATAGTTTCCCAACGCCTCCGATTGGAAGAACACGTCGTAAACTCTCGAAATTCTCCGACCTGCTCCTCTGATTCTGGTGTAAGGAGCCGTTTGGTTGAAGGAGAAGAAGAAGGAAAGGACACTCCTCTCCAGCCGCGGAGAGGCGGAGAGGCGGTTCCTGGGACGAAGGAGAATCAGCCGCATCAAGGAGATCAATGGCTCTTTGAAATGGTTTATAAGAATTTTGCATATCCGTTAGGTTATATAAAACTCCACCCAAATAAGAATCTTCTGGAGATCATGTTTATGAAAGTTTGAGAAATTAAAAAAACACTTTTAATTTTAAAATACTGATTACTTTTGCAATAATTTTACCTATTTTTTATAATATATTTTGACATGTCAAAATCATATATTTATTATTTTAAAATTTAATAAGTATTTTTATGGACAAATTACAAATTTCAAACTCCTTTATATTTTGACTCTTGTAGAGTACCGTGCAGCTACGGTGCAAGTAGGCTTTGAAGCTTTTCTTAACTTCTTTTTCTTTTTAGCTTTTCGCTTAATATTATTATATGTTCCTACCGCTTAATTTAATTTTGATTTTGATTTTTATAGTTTTAAACGTAATTTATTTTTATATTTCTCCTATCTTAAAAGACTCATAAAAAAGTAAAGAAGTCAAAATCAAAACTGTTAAAAAAATATAAGTATAAAAACCAAAGTCAGCTAAAAATATAACTTGTTAAAATTGTATAGATGAAAAACCTTTCCAAAATTAAGGAAAAGCATCCGTTTAGAAATTTTTTAAAGAATTTTTTTTATCTATATTTAATAGCATTAATTTTGTCAGTATCATTAAAAAAAATTCAAATTCTTATAAAATTACAAGAATTAACATGGTAGACGAGAGACATCATAAGAACGGTAAAAAAATAATAATAATACAATTTTAAGTTGCTCAAGCTTGTATTCATTTAGTTTTGGTCTCTTAAATTTTAAAAGTTTTGGTCCCTCAAATTTTTTTCAACATAAAATATTAATCCCTCGAATTTAATAAAAATCTAAATCATTTTACACCCGATAAACATAATTAACAGTTTTAGTCAAATTTTGTCAAGGCCCTTGTAGTTTACCATACCCAAAAAACTGTCAAGTTTTGAATCCTTCTGTTAATTAACAGTATTAAAAAAAATAATATATGTGGGAAAATAGTTTATTTCTTAAGCAATTTTTTTCCAGTGACTAGGCCTTTTTTTTCCTTTAAAAAAAAAAACTGGTGCATACATGATTTCGGAATGGGAGAAGGTGGAGGAAGCATTCGCAATGCCGACAAGCTAGAAGCCTCCATCGTTGCTATTGTTATGACCAATCATTCATTGGAGGAGATGGAACCCAGAAAGAGGACGTTCTGATACTTGAGGTAATACTAAGACATCACTTAATTTGTTTTGAAATAAACACGTTACATAGATTTTGCATTTACACAGGAAATTAGAAGACGAGGCTTGAAAAATTGCAGTGGTGGTGGGAATCTCAAAAACTAATGATGATGATATGCCGGTAAGCATGCTTCAATTAAACAAAGCTGTTTAGGTGTGATACAATGTTAATTATTATTTTAGGTTATAGACAAGTCAGTTGGCTTTGATACTGCCGTTTGAGGAGGCACAACGAGCTGTTAATGCTGCTCATGTGGAAAAACAGAAAGCTCTGAGAGTGGCACTGGTGCTCTCAAGCTAATGAGACGTTACAGTGGAGTGTGTGTACATATACAAAGTTGTCGCATGTTATTATTAGCATCTGACAGACATAGTAGTAGGATAGCAAGTCCCATGTTGAGTAGTATGAGATGCTTAATGAGGTATTTAAGTACTACCTCCGGTCCTTAATATAAGACTCTGTTTGACTTTTATTTTGGTCCTAAATATAAGACCCCAATTCATTTTGTCTCTCATATTTATATATATTTTTTTCAAAGTAACCCTTCTAACAATGATAGTTCTAGTCAATACACTTGATTAGTAAGGATATTTTAAAAAAAATAATATCTATTTAGGACAAATAACTAACTCAACTTACCTCCTTAATCTCTTCAAATTAGTCAACTGGCTCTTATAATTAGTACCAGAGGTAGTATATAAGTTGGTTGACCAACCTCGATAATTAGCTTTTGGAACGGGATTCCCCATACCTAGCAGCTTCACATAATTGTTGGTCATCATCTTACCTCACTTCCTTTGGAAACATTTACTCCCATAACACAAAACGTTAATGCAATCTCTTGTTATGTTTATAGAATCATTTCAAACAGAAAAAGCCGAAAAATAACAATGACTCTAGAGTACATTGATTAGTTCTGTACAATTAGTAGTAGCAAATGACTATTTTGTGTCACCAAAATGTTCTAACAATTCAATTTGGCAGATCCTACATACATGATCCGTGCTGTTCCAAGCAATGCATCTGGTAATATATGCTGTACCCTCCTTGCTCACCAGGAAGCACAGGCTTCACACCTTAATGGGAGACATGCTTTTATTCCATTCCATGTAAATTCTTTTTCATCACTCAAATTTTTTGTATCATGCTCAAGTTCATCCTTGTACTTTGCTCAGAACTGAATTTTTTCCTCGGATTTTATATCAGTATTTCAATTTCTCATTAAGTTGCGTTTAGGTATTTGCAGAGGATAACCAAAGGGCAAAAGAGGGTTGTGATAACTGATCGGATGTGGGCAAGGACCTAGCAACATCAATGGAGAAATAGAACAGAACCATACACCAAATGGGAAGAACCATACAGAAATCATTGCGGCTAAACCTGCTGAACAATAATTCTTTTTTTTTTTGGGGTGATAATGCTGTAGCAGTTTTTTGTTTCATTTTTGCAACAGTATTTGAGAAGTGGAATTTAATTATAAGTTTTGTAAGGAAGAAGCATACAGATTGTATCAAAAAGGGAGAACCATACAGAAATCACTGTTTATAATTGGTAAGTGTCTTTTGAAAATTTCCATGCTTTTAAAAATCATATACTAGTAGGGTATTATATATAACAAACTAATAGAGTATTACATATACGCACGAATTGATTAGCATTGAGAACTAGAGTCTTGCATATTCGAGTTTGCAGACAGTGACTTCGGCAACAAGTGTGGGTACTCATCAATCATCAATCAATCAATCATCAATTATATTCTTGAAAACTTATAATACCCGGTTTATTTTAAAAACGGGTCGGGTATAACATTAAGGCATCGAAGTATATTTAATTGATGATATTTGAATAATATTTTGATTGGGATTTATGTATATTGAATTAAATGAGGAGTATCATTATTAAATGGGATTTCAATTTGAGGGTCAAATGAAGGAATTAATAATTAATTTTGAGTTTGAATGATATTAATTGGGATTTGAATATATTGAATTAAATGGGAAACATCATAATTAAATAGTATGTCAATTGAGCTTAAATAGAGAAATAAATAAATAATTTTAAATTTTTATATTTTCTTCTTAATTTTTGAATTTCTAATTCAAATTTCATTTGAATAAATAAAAAAAATTACACTTATATAAAAAGTGAATATAATTTTGAGCTGCCTTAGATAATACAATTTATTATCATTTAAAATTTAATCAAATATTTTAATCTGTGCATCGCACGGGGAATAAATCTCTAGTTACTTTTGATAAGCATCCAAATGCGTTGACAAAATATTACTTTTGATAAGCATCCAAATGCGTTGACAAAATAATAAGCATCCAAACTTGTCAGGTATTGATGGTTCAAATTTAATTTTTAAATAATTATTTTTATACGTATAGAATTTAAAATAAAGATAATAGCTTAAATATCATTTTTTTTAATTGTGAGGCACTAAACAAATAAAAGTAAAGGAAAAAAAGGAAAGGTTATGACGTATCAATTATAATTAGTAATAATTTGAATTAACTGTTTTAGTATCTATTTGTGTCAAAATTAAAATATAAAAATAATGTTATCAACCTTTACGACTATGACAAACCTAATGAAGAAAGACCTAAAGTGTCGGAAAAATGGGCCAGCTGGGTTTATTCATTTGTCCTTTTTTTTTAAGGCCCACAGGCGAAATGATACTTATGTAAGATATTGTCATGTCTAATAATGTAAGCAATAGCCGTTGGACTTAATGAAAGAGTTTTTGATCGTTTGAGTTCTTAAATTCGAGTTCGTATGAATGTATAAAATGCATTTGGGAGAAGGACCTGACAATGCACTTATCTGATCCGGTCAAATAGACATATCAGAAAATGTCTAGTGATAAAAATCCTAAGCAGAGTAAAACATTTAATCATGACACATGATATAGGAAGAGACTAGTACTTTGGAAGACGACTGAATATTTGATGAACCTTCAACTCTGTTTTAGCAGAGGCATCAGAGTCAAATTGTCCAGCAGGAAGGAGGCATGGCGGGTGAAGTTCAACTATTCTTCTCACAGGTGGCAAATCTGGTGGACGCCCAGACATTACTATTGCAGCTGTGGCTGTTGCAGCTTTAGTCCCTTTTTTATTTACTTGGATGAATGTCTTTTGAAATATGCCAAAAACATATAACTGATCTTCACCATCAAATAAAGAAGTTACCATCTCTGTTAGTTTTCCTTCAGAGAATAGCAATCTCATCCCTAGTGCCCTCAGCACCTCGGAAGCTTCCACCTCAGAAGACATACTAAATATAGGGGTAGTTATGCCATTAATATCCACTGTATACACATCAGGCTCCTCGTAAAATTCATAGTCAAATGAATGAGGATAATAGAAATGCATGGAGAAAGCACGCTTTTCTTCAGCTTGCTTTTTACACGTGTGTCCAAGCGTATGCATTTTATGAAACAGCATGGTATCAATTACTTCCATCTTGGCAGCTATGAAGGGAGCAGTCACTTTGTATTCGTTCTTACCAAGCTCTTTTCTTAGTATGATTAGATCTGCTTTCTTTCTCCTCTTCTTTTTTTTGTGGTTACTTGGATTTGCTTTCTCCTCCCATGCTCCTGTGAAGTTTAGTGCATTTGTAAAGACAAGCTTGACTGAGTTGTTGAGAGACCCCTCACGAATAAGGTCTTTAACTCGGACACTTGCCCCATTTTCCACCCATGAATTGATTTCTTGCCCCACATGAGCAGCCTGCACAAATTATATATGCCCATTTCATCAAGCACCTCATCAACAGACCAACAAGTTATTGTTCTTCTTGTTCGACTTAAACGGAACATTATATTATTACCTTGGTTTGAAAGTCCACCGGGTTCACAGCTGCTCTATAGTCAGATTCGAGAACGTGTTTAAAAGAGGGCTTGAGAGAAAGGGACTGATCAAGCCATAAGGCATTGGAGCAACGCACCCTAGGGCCAACGGCGGGATCACCATTGGCCAAGATGACGTCGGAGATTAGAGAGGCCAAGGAATTCAGATGATCGACGGAATCGGCGTTGAAGAAGTTGACAATCTGACGGCTGGTCCAACCGCGGGAGCCGGCGGCAAGGAGGCTGAGCACTACTTGTAAGGACAAGGGTGAAACCACCCTGTGTTCGTCGAATTTTTGCTCCATAAGTAGATGGTTTCCCAACGCCTCTGATTTGTCGAATACGCCGAGAGTTTTCTGATTGATCCGACCTGCTCTTCTGCTGCTGCAGTAAGAAGCCGTTTGGTTGAAGGAGAAGGAAAGGACACTCCTTTCCAGCCATGGAGAGATGAAGAGGCTGCTCCTGGGATGAAGAAGACTCAGCCGTGCCATGGAGATCATCAGACCACTTCAGGTAAAACCTAAGCTCCGGTTACTGAGATGAAAACCAAATCACAATTTAGAAAATAACTCCCTAAAAAAATCACTTTAAAAATAAATTTTGAAAAAAAAATTAATTTTCATAAAATGAGAATATTTGAATAGTTATTATCAGAATTATTTTTTTATGTTCAAATTACCAAAAATAATATAAATTAAAATGATAGTTATAACAGATTTTAATTCACATTTTTGTTTAAAGTAATAAATTAGTAACTAATATACTTTTGTTTTATCAATATAATAAATGACATATGAAATGTAATTGATTAATCATTAGTAATTAATATATGTGTATATATTTATAAAATATAAGATTAAATATATTTTTTAAAAAATGAAAATTCTAGCTCAGAAATTTTAAAAATCATGTGCCATAAGATTTTTAGAAAAATTGAATAAATATACTATCTTTGTTCCTTAATATAAGAACTAAATAACTAATTTACAAATATATAAAATTAGTTAAAATAGTTGCTTGTAATAAATAGATATTGTGTTTTCTGAAATATTCCTATTAATCATATACTCTTTTAGTCCTATTTATAAATCACTTCCAAGAAAAATCTTAAACTTTATTAACTCTAATTTAAAATTCAATAATTTTTCAACTTTATCCTTATTTTATTTGAGCACCACTATATATACATATCTCGCGGATATCAACATCTAATCTAAATATTTAATGATCTTTTAATGATTTAAACAATAGTTGGCAAAAAAGTGATTTAAACAACAAATAAAAGAGAAAAGAAAATATCGAATAGACTTTTTATGACTTCATTCAATAATAATTCATAAAAAAATAACAGAATATGTAAATTTTTCTTTTGTATTATGATATAGAATAGAATCACGTAAATTTTTCTTTTTGTGTTCTGATATAGAATGAAATCAGGAAAATAAATATCCATCTCGATTTTTGTTATATTTTATTTAACTACCAATTAAAATATTACTAGCATATCATTAGACAAAATAAAAATATATAAGTTCCTTAATTATGGGAGTAATGGTTCGCCTCTTATAATTCAACAAAAATCCATTTTTATATGTTTTAAAAATATAATTTATAATATATCAGACGAATGAGACAAATCTTTGAAAAACTTATAGGTTCTAGAGTATCAAGAAATGAATAGTCTACACTTCAAACAAAATCAGAGTATCCAGAGAGAGTGGGAGTGGAGTGATGAAAAACGCAAATATATATATAGTAATCACCCAACACAAAAGAGAGAGAGCCTTGAGAAACACCGTAACCGCACAAAAACCCCCCATATGTATAGAATCCAAATCCCAAATAGTAAAGGATGGAAGAAGGGATGTCAAAATAAGCACCAATGAAATCCCACTCTCCCAAAACACAGAAAAATGAAAAGGACAACAAAAAATGAAGATAAAATTGCCAAAGCATATGCATGAACTAAGAATGAAAGTCATCAAAAAAAAGATGTTAACGTCAACAACCAATAGCCAATTAGATGTAAAAGAAACCACCATTTAAGACTGGCACGTGAACCAATCACAAAACCACTACAAGATTTATAAGTTATATAGATAGATAGATGTAGATAGATAGTTTAGAATTTGGCTAACTATGGTTACATGCTCCGCTCTTCTTCGAGCATCATCTGAAAAATTATTAAATTATAATTTCGACGCATTTTCATATTAAGACATGGTACAAAAAACACAAAGCATAAGAATTAATATTTGATAAAGCTTAATTTTTATATATTTTATTCCAAATTAATTCAGGATTTAAATGATAATTTTGGGCTTAATTGGATTTTTATACATTATTGGATAAATTGGTTGATTTTTGGATTTTGCATAAAAATTGAGATTTTAGATTAAAAGCATAAATATTTGGTGATTTCTTATTTTTGATTTGGAATTAATTTTTTCTGTTTCTTTGAAAACAAGTCTCATATTTTTAGAAAGATTACTTTTAGAAAGTTTTGCAATCTCTTGCCTAATTTTTATGCATATCTGATATTTAATTTTTGATTATATTTGGATATAATCTACATTAATGGATGCACTTGAATTCTTGTAGGTCAAGAAAGGGGCACATAGGAAATCCAATGGTGTAAGATTGTTTCTTGGAATCTAAGCACAATCCAATGGCTAATATCAAGTGGGTCAATTAATTACTAATGAGCTTGAGTTTTAGATAAAAAAAAAAATTTCTTTTCCCTCATTATACTATTTCCTTATTTTTGGAGGAGGGAGGCACGCCTAAATATCACACTTTCCATTCCCCATTGATTCACGCGAGGAACACACTTCCATCTTCATTCATTCACGCCCAATTGAACGCCTAAGGAAATATTTCTTTCCTTCTCCCTTCGGCCGCTCAAAGGGGAAACAATTTCAATGAAAATTCACTTCCTTTCCCCACGCGCAAAAGCCATCTAGTCAACGTCATCATCAACTTCTCCATTCCACGTGCCACATACACTCATCATTTTCATTCTCCATTCTCCATCAACTATGGTGGCCATGATTCCCAACAGCGTGGAGGGAGGAGATAATACCATGGAAGCTTAAGCTTACTTGGGAGGCAACTTGAGAGGAGCATGAAGGAGACTAGAACCTTGGGCTAGCACTTGAAGATCACAAGGGAGTGATATTCCATTTATCTTTTTAATTCAAGGACTTGAAATTATTTAGTTTTAAATGATTTTAAGTTGTAATTTTATTGAGACAATTTAGTTCTAGATTGTCAATTTTATTCTTGGATTAAATTGATATTTGAATCTTATTTGTGCCAAGATACTTGTTGGAATATATGTTTAGAACCTTTACATTGTTAATTGAATTTATAATTGAGTTTTCATTATGAGTTTAATTATCAATGTGGTTTGAATTGCAAAATTTAGGTTTTTTTACCTCTTAATTGTTTAATTAAGTTGGTTGATTATCTGATTGTTTAATTGGATAATTTCAAACACAATTTGGTTTTAATAAGCTTAATTAACCAATCTTATACTGTTATGAGTTCTCTAATGGTTTAAGGGTTTTTGAGGTTGAGAGTTTCCTTTATTTCACGTAGATAATTAAGTTTATTAATTCTACTCTCTTATCACCTCTCTTTAGTCTAATTAACTGATTAAGGTTATGAAAGTTAAATTCATGCGAATCCTGAGTTGTCCTCTTTACCGTACCTGAAGAGAAATTTCTGAATTTTTACTTGCTAATTCTCTTTGCTTTCTGATTAATTTTCTTTATTCATTATTTTTATTTTCCTTAAAAAAAACCCCCACAAAATTGCATTGCATTCATTTAGTTTAATCTAATTTTCATTTAGATTTTAGGACATTTGCATCTTGCATTTAGAATTAGAATTTTATATTTTAGTTTAGGTCCAATTTATTGCATTTTTTTTATCACTTAAATTTTTACCTAAAAAAACCCATAACTTGCTCTTTGGAAGTAATGATCTAGGTCGATCCTAAACTACAAATTAATTAGGACCTAGTTTAATTGAGTGCTTTGACGACAAAAGGCATCATCAATATTGTTTAACATAAATATAATGGAAGAATATGAATGAAAACTTGTGTTAAACTAATCTATATTTAATCTGCACTCGTTTAGAGAACAAATCTAATCTGCGCTCACTTTCAATTTAGACAATAACATTAGTGATTTTTTTTTTTTGGTTTCTTCCTTTATTGATGATATGAGGAGTCATTATTGATTGCTTTTGCATGGGTCCATATATTTTTCTAGGAAACTATTCGTAATTTGTGCTCTCTTAAACTGAAATTAAATGCATATTGAAATATTATTAATACTAATACAAAAAAGTAAAATATTAATCCAATGGTTGAAAAAAGAAGAGGAGGGAAGAGGATGAAAAAATAAGAGGAGAAGTTTCGAACCGATTCTAAATAATCTATATCTTTTCTTGGTTTAAATGAGATGTTTGAAAGTAGGTTAACAGAGTATTTGAACCAATAAATATGGAGTGTTGACTCAAAAAAAAAAAAAAAGATAAATAAGGGGCACATAGGAAATCCAATGGTGCAAGATTGTTTCTTGGAATCTAAGCACAATCCAATGGCTAATATCAAGTGGGTCAATTAATTACTAATGGGTTTGAGTTTTGGATAAAAAAAAAATTTCCTTTTCCCTCATTATACTATTTCCTTATTTTTGGAGGAGGGAGGCACGCCTAAATATCACACTTTCCATTCTCCATTGATTCACGCGAGGAACACACTTCCATCTTCATTCATTCACGCCGAATTGAACGCCTAAGGAAATATTTCTTTCCTTCTCCCTTCGGCCGCTCAAAGGGGAAACAATTTCAATGAAAATTCACTTCCTTTCCCCACGCGCAAAAGCCATCTAGTCAGCGTCATCATCAACTTCTCCATTCCACGTGCCACATACACTCATCATTTTCATTCTCCATTCTCCATCAACTATGGTGGCCATGATTCCCAACAGCGTGGAGGGAGGAGATAATACCATGGAAGCTTAAGCTTATTTGGAAGGCAACTTGGGAGGAGCATGAATGAGACTAAAGCCTTGGGCTAGCACTTGAAGACTACAGGAGAGTGATATTCCATTTATCTTTTTAATTCAAGGATTTGAAATTATTTAGTTTTAAATGATTTTTAAGTTGTAATTTTATTGAGACAATTTAGTTCTAGATTGTCAATTTTATTCTTGGATTAAATTGATATTTGAATCTTATTTGTACCAAGGTACTTGTTGGAATATATGTTTAGAACCTTTGCATTGTTAATTGAATTTATAATTGAGTTTTCATTATGAGTTTAATTATCAATGTGGTTTGAATTGCAAAATTTGGGTTTTTTACCTCTTAATTGTTTAATTAAGTTGGTTGATTATCTGATTGTTTAATTGGATAATTTCAAACATAATTTCCAAAATTAATTATTTTCATTGGTTTTAATAAGCTTAATTAACCA